CTCAGGCTGGTCTCGAACTCCTGAGCTCAAACAATCCGCCCACCTCGGCCTCCCAGAGAGCTAGGATTACAGGCGTGAGCCACCGTGCCCGGCCTTACAAATTTGAGTTTTAAAAATTGAGGTGAAATTCATATAACAGACAATCACCCACTTTAAAAGTGAACAATTCATTGACAATTAGTACACTTACAGTGTTTGTGCAATTGCTACCTTTATCTTGCTTGAAACTGTTTTCATCATCCCAAAAGGAAACCCTGTACCGTTCAGTGGTTTCCCTCCACCTCCTCCTAGTTCCTGGTAACCAGTGATCTGTGTTCTGTCTCTGTGGATTTACGTATTCTAGATATTTCATATAAATGGGAAATTATACAATATATGTCCTTTCTTATCTGGCTTCTTTCATTGGGCATAACGTTCTTTAATTGTATTTTTTTTTGAGACAGGGTCTTGCTCTGTTGTCTGGGCTAGAGTGCAATGGCATCATCATAGCTCACTGTAACCTCAAACTCCTGGGGTCAAGCAATCCTCCAGCCTCAGCCTCCTGAGTAGCTGGGACTACAGGTGTGCACCACCACACACAGCTAATTTTTTCTGTATTTAATAAAATGGGGTCTTGCTCTTGCTCAGGCTGGTCTTGAACTCCTGACCTCAAGTGATCCTCCCACCTCTGCCTTCCAGAGTGCTAGGTTTATAGGTGTGAGACACTGTGCCCAGGCAACACACTTTTTGACCATTGTGAATTGTGTTGCTATCAACATTGGTGTATAAGCATCTCTTTGAAGTTCCTGCTTTCATTTCTTTTCGGTATATGCTATACCTAGGAGTAGAATTGCTGGATCTTACATTACTGCTGTAGTTAACTTGTTGAGAAACCACCAACTATTTTCCACAGCAACTGGACCATTTTACTTTCTCACCAGTAATATACAATAGTTTAGAGACTGGATTTTTATATAAAGGCTGATTTGTCATAACATTAAAAGGTAGGCAACTTGTCACTATTACCCATTGCTTCCCTAACCTGGCTGTGCTTCAAAATCATCTGGGAAGATTGAAATGCAAGCCTTTGAATCCTACTCTAGGAAGTTTTGATTCACCTAATGGGGGGTTCGGGAATCTGTATTTTTCAAGTCTGGAGGGATTGATGTTAGTGTGGGGGGGTCTTTGTATACCGCCTTTTAGTCTACTCTGCCACTTTGTCCTTTCGTCCTATCCCTGTTTCACCTATGCACTGCTTCCTTAACTGTCCTTTGCATTTATTTAATGAATATTTTTCCATCACCTATAGTGCGAAATGAATGAATATTTTAAAGGTGATGAGTGATATTGAGTTGGTCAGAGAGATTACAGTCTAGCTCCCAATTCTGATAACAAAAATTTGGTGAAATAAGATGGAATGTATTTTCATTGTTATATAATCTTGAGAAGAAATAACATTTTGTTGACTTGTTATTTACATTCCTGCATCAAGTAGTAGTTGCCTTTTAAGACCACAGAAACTAACTTCAAATGATGAATTCACTACCTTTTAAGCACCACGAGGGCAGTGGTCAAGCCTGACCTGTTCAGTGCTGTATTGCTAGTGTCTTGCATATTGTCAGATGGACACTCAGTAAACATCTATTGGATGAATGAATGAAGTTACTTTCTTATGATTTTTGTTTTGAAATTTGCTAAATATTAGAGGTATTTAATAATTGTAAAATATATATCATGTTTTCAGTATTTTTTCCTACAGACATTCAAAGAGTTTAGGAAGTAATGGCAAATGATTTGTCTTTTGTTCAGTATTTTCAGGAACTTACGTTAAGTCTATAAATATATATATGTACTTTTTACAGAAAAATTGAGCAGATAATACAAAGAGTTCCCATATACCACCTCCCTACCCTAATAACACACACACACAAAGACAGTTTCCCCTATTGTTAACAATCTTACATTAGTACAGTACGTTTATCACAATTAATGAACCAATATTGATACGTTATCCAAAGTCCATAGTTTTTTCAGAATTCCTTAGTTTTCATGTAATGTCCGTTTTCTGTTTCAGGATCCCACGTAGGATACCATATTACAGTTGTCATATCTCCTTAGGTTCTTCTTGACTGTGTCAATTTCTCAGACTTCCCTTGTTTTTAATGACCTTGAGTGCTTTAAGCAGTTCTAGTCACATGTATTGTAGGAGGCCCCACTGTTGGAATTCATCTGATATTTTTCTCAAAATTAGACTGGAATTATGGATTTTTAGTAGGAAGAACACAAGAACACAGAAGTATAGAGCCATATTCATCACATTGTATCAAGGGTACATGATACCAACATGATTTTTGCATGTTGATGTTGAGCTTGATCACCTGGCTGGGTAGTATTTGCCAGGTTTCTCTACTGTAAAGTTTTCTTTTCCCCCTTTCCATACTGTACTCTTTGGAAAGAAATCACTATGTGCAGCCAGGACTTAAAAGAGTGGGGAGTTATGCTCCAACTCCTTGAGGGGAGAGTATCTTCATAAATTATTTGGAATTCTTCTGTATGGGAGATTTGTCTGTTCTCCCCCATTTATTTATTTATTCAGTCATTTATATTAGCATGGACTCATGGATATTTTATACTTTGGATTATAATCCAGTACTACTTTGTTGTGTTGCTCAAATTGTTTCAGCTTTGACCATTGGGAGCTCTTTGAGTTGGCTCCTGTTTCCTTTGACATAACCCCCTCATTTTTTGTTCTTGTTTTCTTGAGCACTTCCTCACTTTCTGACACTACAAGGTGCTTCAGGTTCATCTTGTATTCCCCATTTCTAGAATTAGCCATTTCTCTGAGGAGTATTATTCTTTATATTGGAGAGTAGCATTAGAAACCAAGATCTGGCTTTATTGTGTTTTTCCCCCCACTTTCTTCTTCTGTTCTAGTTATCATGGCTTTGGGCTACAGAGACCACTTCAACAACAACCTGTTCCAAATAGTGATGCTGTCTTGAATTGCCCTGCCTGCATGACCACACTGTGCCTTGATTGCCAAAGGTAATGGATGAAGGTCACACACACACACACACCCCAAAAAAACAAAAGCCCTCTTGGTGGTACTTTGTTTAAATAAGAAATAGACTTTTGAGGTACTCAGGAACTCTGATAAGGTTCTGTACTCATATCCTTAGTGTTACATAACTAATTTTTATATTAATACAAATAATTTTGGTTACACATAGTTCTATTTAATGTAGCTTTTCTAGTCCAAAATGGTGGCATAGAAGCAAGCTGGCTTCACTTTCTCCCCAGAAAACCCAAACCAAATATACAGTGCCGAGATTATCACCACCAATATCCCAGATCTCCAGCGTAAGGAGGAGGCCCACAATTTTGAGGCCCACAGAGAAGTGAAAAAACTCTGAGCAGACAGTAAGAAAATCAGACTTTCATATTTGTGACACCCTTCCCTCCAGTCTGCCCAGCACCAAGCAGGTTGAAAAATTGCCCCCAACTCACAGTTTCTGCACTGGAAAAAGTGAGATCAAGATGGACAACCATGGCCGGGTGTGGTGGCTCACGCCTGTAATCCTAGCACTCTGGGAGGCCGAGGCAGGAGGATAGCTTGTGCTCAAGAGTTTGAGACCAGCCTGAGCAAGAGCAGGACCCTGTCTCCATAAAAGACAGAGAAATTAGCCGGGCGTTGTGGCAAGTGCCTTTAGTCCCAGCTACTTGGGAGGCTGAGGCAGGAGGATCGCTTGAGCCCAGGAACTTGAGGTTGCTGTGAGCTAGGCTGATGCCATGGCACTCTACTCAGGGCATCAGAGTGAGACTAAAAAAAAAAAAAGAAAAAAGATGGACAACCAGTTTCTGTGCCATCTTGGGTTCCCTGGCAGGAGACCTGTCCCTGCCTTAACCCACAGGAAGCATCATGAGTGCCTGAAAGGAAAATATCCCTGAGAACAGCCAGAGACAAAGGAGGGAGGTGGGACTACCGTCCCTAGACCTAGAAGCTCTGCTTTGTAACTTGGCCAAAGGAGAAGCCAAATCAGAGTGGCTGTTCAGCAGCATCACACTGTAGGAGATTTGGTCTGCAGATCCCTTGGACATGAACCCCTAGCCAGCCTTCCCACACTACTGGGATGTCCCCTCTGGGACCTTCCCCATTTGGGATGGGCAGTGCTCCAATTGTTTACTAGAGCTGAGGCAAACATGGGCTTAAGGCATCATATAGTGCCAGAAAGGAGGCAGTGACCTAGCAAAAAAAATAAAATAAAAAAAAAGGAATTCAAAAATTATAAAGAATCTCTAAGAAAACATATTCAATAAAAACTAAAACAAGCTAGACCAAGAAGACCAGAATAAATAATCCTTCAGTGCAAAGACGTAGGCATATATCCACAAGAAACAACAGCAAATGAGGAGCCATGACCTCCTCAAAACAGGCAAAGCAAGGAACCATTGACCCTAACAAGAATGTGATATGTGAACTCTCTATTCAAGAATTTCAAATAGCAATTTTAAGAAAACTCAGTGATCTCAAGACAACACAGAAAGGCAATTCAGAAATTTATCAGAGAAATATAATGAGATTAAAATGATAAAATCAAACAAATCTTGGAACTGAGAAATATATTTATTTGCTGTACAGGAAAATTCATTAGAGGCTCTCAGCAGAATGGATCAAGCAGAGAAGACAATCAGTGAGCTCAAAAGACAGGCTATTTGAAAACACACAAAGGAGAAAGAAAAAAGAATGAAAAGGAATGAAGATCTGCTTACAAGATACAGAAAATTACCTCAAAAGACCAACTAAGAATTATTGGTGTTCAAGAGGGAATAGAGCAAGAACAAGGGTTAGAAAGCTTATTCAAAGAAATAACAAAGAACTTTCCAAATCTCAAGAAAGAGATAAATATCCTGGTACAGGAAGGTCAGAGAACACCAAACAGATTCAACCAAAAATAAAACCTACCCCCAGGCATATAGTAAACTCTCAAGGACAAAGGATCCTAAAAGCAGCAAGAGAAAAGAAACATAAAAAAGGATATATAAAGTATAACATAAAAGAGCTCTAATTCATCTGGCAACAGACTTCTCAATGGATACCATATAGGCTGAGAGGGAGTGAAATGACATTTTGAAAGTGCTGAAAGGAAAAAAAAAACACTGCCACCCAAGAATACTGTATCCAACAAAGTTATCCTTTAAATATATAGAGAGAAAGACAGACAAAAGCTGAAAGAATTCACCATGGCCAGATCTGTCTTCTTTTTTTTTTTTTTTTTTTTTTGAGACAGAGTCTTGCTCTCTTGCCTAGGCTGGAGTGCAGTGGCATCATCATAGCTCACTGTAACCTCTAATTCCTGGGCTTAAGAGATCCTCTTGCCTTGGCCTCCCAGAGTGCTAGGATTACAGGCACGGGCCACTGCACCCGGCCTTGAGTTTTTTTTTGTTTCTATTTGTGATCTAAGATAAGTTGTCATCACATTAAAATAACTTGTTATGTCTATAAGGTTTTTTGTAAGCCTCATGGCAACCACAATGCAAAAACTTATAATAGATTCACTAAAAACAAAGAGCAATGAATTAAAACATACTACCAGAGAATATCACTTAACCACAGTGGAAAACAGGAAGAAAGGAAGAGAGGAGTTATAAAACAACCAGAAAACAAGAAACAAAATGGCAATAATAAGTCCTTACTTATCAATAATAACACTGAATGTAAATGGACTCAATTCTCCAATTAAAAGGCATAGAGTGGATAAAGAAACAAGACTTGACTATATGCTGTCTATAAGAAACCCACTTCATCTATAAAGACACACATATGCCGGGCGCGGTGGCTCACGCCTGTAATCCTAGCTCTCTGGGAGGCCGAGGCGGGAGGATTGTTTGAGCTCAGGAGTTCGAGACCAGCCTGAGCAAGAGCGAGACCCCGTCTCTACTAAACATAGAAAGAAATTAATCGGACAACTAAAAATATATAGGAAAAAACTAGCTGGGCATGGTGGCGCATGCCTGTAGTCCCAGCTACTCGGGAGGCTGAGGCAGGAGGATCGCTTGAGCCCAGGAGTTTGAGGTTGCTGTGAGCTAGGCTGACACCACGGCACTCACTCTAGCCTGGGCAAAACAGTGAGACTCTGTCTCAAAAAAAAAAAAAAAAAAAAAAGACACACATAGACTGAAAGTGCAGAGCTGGAAAAAGATACTCCATGTAACTGGAAACCAAAAAGCAAAAGTAGCTATACTTAGATAAAATAGACAAAATCAAAGACTGTAAAGAGACAAAGAAGGTGACTGTATAGTGATAAAAGGGTCAATTCAGCAAGAGGATATAACAGTTAAAATGTCTATACACCCAACACCAGAGCTCCCAAGTATATGAAACAAACATTAACAGATCTAAAGGGAGAGATAGACTGCAATACAATAATAGAGGACTTCAACACTCCACTGTTGGTAATGGACAGATCATCCAGACAGAAAATCAATAAAGAAACATTAGAGTTAAACAATACACTAGTCCAAATAGGCCTAACTGACATTTACAGAACATTTCACCTAACTGCTGTAGAATACATATTCTTTTCATTAGCACGTGGAACATCTCCAGAACAGACCATATCTTGGGCCACAAAACAAGTCTCAACAGATTAAAAAAGTAGAAATCATATCAAGTATCTCTTCTGATCTCAATGGAATAAACCTAGAAATCAATAATAATAGGAACCTTGGAGAATACTCAAGCACATAGAAATTAAAAAACATGCTCTTCTCTCTTCTCTGCACTCTCAGCTAGAGTGCAGTGGCATCATTGTACCTCACAGCAACCTCAAACTCCTAGACTCAAGTGATTCTCTTCCCCCAGCCTCCCAAGTATTTGGGACTATGGGCGCGCACCACTATGCCTAAAACAATATGATGATTTCTATAGATGCTGAAAAAGCATTTGATAGAATTCAACATCCCTTTATGATAAAAACTCTCAAGAAACTGGGTGTAGAACGAACATACCTCAAAATAATAAAGGTCATATATGACAAACCCACAGCTACCATTGTACTGAACAGGGAAAAATTGAAAGCTTTTCCTCTAAGGTCTGGAACACAACAAGGATGCCCACTTTCACCACTTTCATTCAACATATAATAATACTGGAAGTTCTGGCCAGAGTAAGTAGGCAAGAGAAAGAAATAAAGGGCATCCACATTGGAAAGGAAGATGTCAAATTAGCCTTGTTTGTAGAAGATATGATTGTCTACTTAGAAAAACCTAAAGACTCCACCAAACAACTGTTAGAACTGATAAATTCAGTATAAGTTGCTAGATACAAAATCAACATAAAAAAACAGTAGCTTTTATATAGGCCAACAGCGAACAATCTGAAAAAGAAATTAAGGAAGCAATCCCATTTACAATAGCTACAAAGAATATAAAATAACTCGGAATCAGCTGGGCGCAGTGGCTGATGCCTGTAATCCTAGCATTCTGGGAGACAAAGGCAGGAGGATTGCTTGAGGGCAGGAGTTCAAGACTAACCTGAGCAAGAGTGAGACGCCGTCTATACAAAAAATAGAAAAATCAGGCCAGGCGCAGTGGCTCACACCTGTAATCCTAGCACTCTGGGAGGCTGAGGCGGGCGGATTGTTTGAGCTCAGGAGTTCGAGACCAGCCTGAGCAAGAG